CGGCAAAGCCGCGCGGGCTGAATATATAAACTCCTCTCCCATCGCTGTCCAGTAATGGGTTCGGGAGGTGCAAAGTCAGGCCGAACTCATGAATCAATTTTTGGTGTCCTTGCCTCACAGCGTAACAACAATGACTGAAATAAATGGTCAGAAGGTGTGCTTCTGCACATGCGAATCCCAACAAAGACTAAGACAGACAGCATTTGGAGTTTGGCAGATTGATACGCGATGCCACAATGCGTGATTTGCGTGCCCAATGGCGTGGTGAGGATCACACCAGATGGTAGCCACAGGGCGCGTTTCACTAGCCTTGCAACACGGCAAAGGCTTAAAACAGAAGACGCATACTGTACCGCAAGGAGAGGTTGAATGTCTTATCCGCGCGTCAACGCAATCGTCGACACACGCAAGATTTCGATGAAGCGGCCCGCGAGGCAGAAAACCAGCTTCAACTTTTTGGGTCGATCTTTGCGCAGCTCGCCCGACAAGACAACGAATTGCAGAATCAACAAGCGACTGGAAACGATACAACAAGCAAAGAACGGAAAAGAGTGAGAGTAGAAGCAGCAGAGGTTCTGCGGACTATTTTGTGACCTGTCTTCCTTGCTTATGGCCTGGCACGCTTTAACTCTTTATTTCCAAAGTTCCGCCGGTAGCGATACCAAGACCTTCCAGATTCGAAACCGAGATGGATACTACGTCATCTAAAGAATCTGCATCTATAATGCACATATTTTTATTGTGCTTTGCTGCGTCTGCATCTTCTCGCGTAAGCCATTCCAACTGAACCCTCCGTCAGATCGAGCCCGCCACTGTTGGTTCCTTATTGCTACATTGCGAAGTTGAAGGCCGCTTTGTAGGGTTTTCTGGGCTGTTGAAGCCTTAAAACTGCGCGCCATAGAAGTTAAAAATTGCAGTCAACACCAGAAGAGGCTACTGAGACCATTCCCCGTCCTTTCAGAAGCAAGCGGCTGAGTACGGCGGCGCATCTGATGGACTGGCCCTTTGTGATTGTCGATATCTTGGCCTCATTTTCCGCTGGAACCGCTTAAAACGCCACCAGATAAAAAAACGCCCGAGTTTCGTCGATTCTTGTGCGGCACCGAGTCGGCCCGCCTAGTCCGTCTGGCTGCCCTATGCGATATTTCCTCTTCGGCATCTTGGCTTTGAGCTTGTGTGAGGACGTATCCGCAGTGCAGCCGATCTAAAGCCGTCGCGTCAGAGCTGCCAGGAACTTGTGGCTCAGCAGCGAAAATTGTCGGCCACACAACTTTAACCTCGCTCTTGAGGAGCTGGCGTGTCTCGTGGTTTGGCGCACCGTTCTGTGAGTTGTTGTTGTCTGTTTTTGGCATTTTCTTTCTGTTTGGCGTGTTGACCGTCGGCGCGGCGGGCCAGCAAGGTAATGGTAGCGGTTGCCAGTCCTCTGGTAGCTCATACTCGAACTCTGGCCAGATCCTGTCTTCCACCTGGCGAGCTAGCGCCCAACACTGTAGTGCCTTATCACAGATGCTCTCTAATCCAGATCTCAGTGCTCGCTCATCTGGAGCCCATCGGCCTATAGCCGCCATGACCTCGTTGATCGCCAATGCAGATCCACGGTTCTGACCTTGCGTCTGTGTCGTTGGTAGCACTTTTGCCAGAGCTGCGCGTACGTAGGCGTGATGTAGGCGGTCAGTAGTCGCGAGGAGGTGCAGCTTTTCATCCAGTTCATGACTCTGCGTTAAGAAGGAGTCACGAAACAGGTGCCTCCCAAGCGCCTTCCCACACGCTGCAAGCCCGGCCACAACTCTGATTTGCTTCGCTGCCGACGAATTTGATGCTGGAAGTGGGAGTACGTGGGATTGGAAGCTACCTCCTGCCATGTTTTCCTCACTAATATCGTGATAGAGAGCAGACTGACACAGATCCATGGCGTAATGGAATAGATCTGCAAAGCCATCACGACTGTGCAACCGCTTCTGTTAGCTGACGGCATTGGTTGCTTGGGGGGAAGTACATACATTGTGGCTCTGCCAGTCTCATCTAAGGCCCGCAGCGGAACCAGGAAAGACCGAACAGTGGTAAGAGATTCCTGGACATTGTTCAACGTCTCGAGGTCCGCATCATGCTGCTGTTTCGATTTTTCCAACTCATCTTTCAGTGCGTTGTTCTTGTAGCCCATGCCTTCCATGCGCGTTTGCAATGTTTCCTTCTCGCCGCGGAGTTTTGTCGCAGTAGCCTCCGCATGTTTTTTGCCCTCAATGAGGGCCTTGATTTTTTGCTCGTTGTCTTGTATCTGACGCCGTAGGCTATCTGCCTTTTCTCGCTCAGCATTAAGTTTTGCGCCGGCATCTTTTTGGTCGCTTAAACTTTGCTTCAAGCGTGTCCTCTCTGCCTCGACACCTTCCTGCAGACTGGAGCGCTCAGTATCCCATTCGATCTGCTGCTGAGCCAGAGCGCGGAGGTTGGTGTTATATGCTGTGCGAAGATCACCGAGCTCTGCTTTCAGAGTCTCATGACCCTGTATCATAGCCTTGAGACTTTTTCCATTTTTCCCCTCACAGAATGGGTGCATAAGATATATCAACTCTGTGACTAATTCTTCGCCAGTGGGAGAGGCTGGAATCGGTTTCCCCTTTCCGGGGTCCTGTGTTGATTGCGTTGGCATAATAATGGGAACCTTTCTGTAAAAGCGTAACAGAGAAGCACCCTCCTGTCGTTTGTGTTCATGCACCAGCACCACCAGCTATCGCTTTTTATACATCACGCCTCTGGCCGTCTACAGAGGGCTGAGCTCGACGCCTTTTGCGGGGTACTGCATGTCTTGCCTTTCGTGTAAGGCAATCAATCATTTTCACAGCCTCGCCTGAACCAGATCATGCTGATGACCACTTCGCTGCTGCGACTCGCGTTGAGTCTGCGGGCAGGGCAACACCTGCCGCATTGAACGGCATCGTGTCAACCTCCGGTTGGTTCACCACTGTGGACTTATATGCAGGCGCATGTGTAGACAGCCTCTTGAGACCAGTGTTGAAGAGTGTGGTCACGTTGGTGAGGGTTGAACGTGGCATTAGCTCCTCGAATCCTGTAAGACTAAGATGTCCTGGCAACAAACACCGCTTCATTCACCAACGGTGTAGACGAAGGTCAGTGACCCTCTTTGCGTGTGTAATAAGCCCTTTCTCGCCCGAGATTTGTCCATTCTAAGTTGTTAGGATTTCCTACAAGAAAGCATCATAGTGGTCAACAGAATACGCACAGTCTAGTATCCCTGTCGTACTCAAGCGGAGTAGCGCCGCTGATCGCTGGTCAGGTTTGCCGTAAACTTCTCCGATTCACACACGGAACCGATCCTGGCAACCTGTTGTTGCGGCGGGACCGCTCCGTGAAATGCGCTTTATGCACATAGCGACCGGATGAAATCTGTATGTCGTGCCTATCATGCCTTGGCCTTTACGAATGGCTGTTATTTCTATCAGTCAACAGTCACGTCAATACGGTCCTGCAGCACACGTTGACTCGTCAAGCAATGCATCACTTCAGATGTGCGACATGCATCACTAGTGGTAGCCTCACTAGTGGTAGGCCTCACTCACACAGACCTCTTCGTCTCTGCATCGAATTCAGAACGGTTCTACCATATCGTTTATTTGTGAGTTTCTTTACATAGAACAACTGCTGGATTGGCACTTCTTGTGTAAGGCTCCAACACCGTTGACGTAACCAGTTAACTCCCCCGTGTTCGCCTTATTGCCAACGTATCCACCTTTAGCAGTGCAGCCGGCTGCGCCTTAACTAGACATGCGCATGCATATAAATCAGCCCGGCTATTGCTGGTGCAAGCTTTGGCCGTCTACTCCTTGTCTTACCAAAAAAAGAGCTCCTGCAAGCACAACACCTGAAGCTGCACGAAGTGAGGGATATACTTCTCTTGCACACGTGATGACTCGCCCGGTTGTCTTATCAATCTTTAGACGGACAGATCGGTAGATGTGGTTACAATCAGGACGAGCTAGGGCGTGTTAAGCGGTAGGCCACCGGCTTCCGCTTAAGCCATCTTTATTTGCCATACGCTAATCATTTTACTAAGCCCTCCTTGCCTACAGACGCCGCCCGCGAGAGTTCACCAAAGCCCGCTCCGTCAAGTTCCCCATGGCGTGGGGGCGTTACGGCAAATCGCCCACCCAATTAGACATTGACACGGCGCCGTCACCAACAGCAGGCTCTATGGCTGCTTCATGCAAGCCTCATCACGAGGATTCATGCTGCGACCCCGCACACCAAGCCCGGGCGATTCAGTCACCTTCCTCACGGTCATCTCTGTCTCGTCTTCCCTTCACCGTTCGTTCTTATTCGCCGACAGCGCCGCTTTCCTAGAAACTGGTTCGCTTCTGACAGTAAAGTTGCAGCAGCCCCATCCTTGATTGCCTCTCCGGAGCGCGAACAGATCGCCGTTGCAAACGTGGGAATTTGACTGTCCTTTGTGATAGCTTTGGCCAGAGTGATGGCTGAAGACGCCAACGCATCAAACGTGCCTTTCATTGACTGCATTCTGATACCCGATGAAGAATGCGGTAGGCTTGATGACTGGGTGTGATTCTTCATCTTTGAGCTCAGCCTCTTTTTCAAACCCGGCTTTAACTGTCCAATCCTTCCATGGCCTTGAAGCCTGGTCCAATGTGCAAAATGTACACGGCGCTTAACGTAGAGCCTAAATTCAGACTCAACTATCTGACGTGGCCGGAAGCGAGTATATAAAGGCTCTTCTGCTCTTGAGCAATCTACTTTGTATCCGGGTTTTACATTGAATTGTTCTTTTTCTGTGAAGCCAATGGTGTGCATTTAAGATTGAATCAGGTCTGGTCTCATCAGTTATTCTCAAGATCCCACCACGACAGTCACACAACAATCCTCCTCTGTCGAGAAAGGTACCACTCCTCTCGGCATATGGGGTGGCGGTCTAATTGGCCTTAGTACTGCTGCTCACTTTACTCGGAAGGGAGTCAGCCCCATCATCATCGACATCAACGGCAATCAAGTTTCGCGAATCAACAAAGCTCAATTTCCGCCGAACTTTGAGTCATGGATCGGTTTCTCCATCGAGCCCTATATCAAAACCGGCCTTATCAGAGCAACAACGGACGTATCCCAGCTTTCACTCGAGTCTGTGAAGACACACTTTGTCGCAGTTCCCACTGAGCGCAATGGTGAGCCAGATTTGGGAGCCATCGAGGTCGTCCTGCCGCAGATTAGGGAACTAACACCGGATCTGTATATCATCGAGAGCACATTCGTCCACGGGCAGACTGAGCCTCTCGCTCGCAAGCAGGGTGGCCATCCATTCAATTCCATCAATTTTGTATCACGATTGAGTTGCGTTGACGGATTACTCAGCATGTCGCCCATGGATTTGAACCACCTTGAGCCGAAATTGAGTTGATGGACGTTGAGTTGAAATGGTTGAATTACGGCTCACGTGATAACGACCTATGTAGGCCACTCCATGTCGTCCTCTCCCTCTACTATGATGCTATTTCCAACTTCTCTCGACACATCAACCAACGAATCTGTACTGTCGATCAAACCACTCCGCACCCAAGACCTTACTGTCTGCGTAATCCTATTGTACTAGCTTCCAACCGTGTCCGAAAAGGTGACACCATCTGGCCAGCAACACTAAAAAGTCGTTCACACTCTGCAGACATTGGCGGTATCGACAATACATCTAGAGCCATTCGAGAGAGCCGAGGGTAGTCATCGCGCCTCTCTCACCAATATTGCACGGGGTCAGACACCAGGGGGTCATGCTGAAGGTCGGGTCTCAATAGCCATTGGTCGTACTCGTCGAGCTCTGCATCTAACGGGCTTTTCCCGGGGCATGTTCCGCACGGCAGCGTCGATGTCCTGAGAGCCCGACGCCTCTCAAGCGCACTCATGGCCTTCAACAGTTTGAACGGCGGACCTTCATCACCCACCTCGCGCGTCGACAAGGACTTGTACTCCTCCTCCCAACGTTTCCACACCGTCCTTTTGGCCTCCTGCAGCCAGGGTCGTTGCGCTGTATCCGTCCACGTATTCTCGAAGTATCCCCAACGCGAGACGGGGTTCAGTATCGCCGCAGCGTAGTATACAGGCGTCTCGTCTAGCTTGGTATAATACTCATTCAATTTATCCCAGCCTAGGTTGATGTTGATCTTGAAATGCTCCGGGTCTGGGTAGTTCTGTCGTTGCCTTCCACGCTTCTAACCTTTCCATTAGGAATTCGTACGTGGAGGCCACGTCCCACATATTGCCGTACGCCTCGATATGACCTCCTTTCCGCGTCCGCTTTTGGCCGTCCCCCATCCAGCATTCGGAGAGCCTCCTCAAAATCAACAAGAACGCTGACCATCAGCTGGATAACTTCCAGTCGTTCTCACCCAAGATGCCTTCCTCCTGGACACACAGAGGCATTTCCTCCCTCCTGCTCAGCCCGTTACGCCGTTTACTGCTGAACTCGATTGTGCAACGATATCCTCGAGGAATGGTCGCAGCTTGAGGCCTCGGCGTATCATGTACAGCGTCGACAGCCAGCGAGTGTGGTTGTCCAAAACAACATCTAGAGGTTTCCTTGCTCGGTTTTCTGTGCTGGTAGAGCTCTGGAAGAATTCCTCCTGCAGAGCTCGGAGACGGTACGTGAGCTTGTCAGACCTGTGAATCCAGTGAACTAGGTTGTGGAGCTTGCCGATAGGCCCTTTATTACGCCAGCCTTCATGCTGAGCAGCGTTCAACCCTGACTCTCCATCAACATCAGCCTCAAATGCGTCAGTCTTGTGCCCAAACAACAGAGCTTTGACCACCAGGTTGAGGACGTGGCCGAAGCATCGTATCCTTCGTTTGGAGGGATCCAGACCCCGCGATTTCGCAATCTCCTCTGCTGCCGAGTCCATATTGGCAGCGTTGCCAAGCGTGATATACCCCAATTTTGTCAAGTATTTCGTAGCTCTCTAGAATCTCTAGAACCTGCGCCGCAATATTCTCGCCGGGGTGCGAGATCTTCAGCTCCGGTAGGCCAAGCACAAGTTTGGACGGTGCACCGTCATGATCAAGGTAAAAGCAGACTATGCCATACACAGCGTGCTGATTCCTGGAACGCCAGCCATCAAACGCAATATGGGTCTTCCCAGGGATATTCCTCAGGTGGTCGATAATTTGAGCCTTGAGTCGACAATGTAGGTCGACAATTCTCTTGCGCACAATGTTGTGGGAAATGTGGGCGTTTGTCACAGCGACGAATGGATTCAGATATTCGAATATACGCCGAAGACGACTGTGCTCAGGCTGACGGAAGGAGATGTTGGCATCGACCACCCACTCGAGAAGCAGCTTCTGAAAATGGTCCCTGTTAAAGCATCTAATAAGAGCATTGGCAATGGCTTGCTCTTTTGGGTCATGGGTATTGAGGCTGAGCATTTCCGCAACATTTCTGAATGGGGTCTTGTCTTTCCACCCCTTCTCCATCGCAGGTGACCTTTTCCCAGACTCGTCGGCCAGCCGGTGCTCCTTGAATAGATGTTTATCCATATTCTGTGTGCCGACAGCAAAGAAACTTGGGATATTTGGCTTTGGCTTCTTCAGACAGGGCCTACATACCCATTTCCGAGTCAAGGGAGAGTCGCAAAATTGGATATCGAATCCATGCTGCCAAATCCACAAAGTCTGTCTGCCTGCGCGTTCAGAGATCGTGAACCCGGAAAACTTATTCATGGGAAGATGCTCCAGCCATCTGGTAAGGGATCTATGCTCAGGAGCGGTTCAACTGGCGCATCGCAGTCAGAAGTGCGCCGGTGTTTAATATGCACGTTGGCGTCCATTTTAGAGCTATGGGAAAGAGCATTGTAGTGGGAGACACGAACACGACGCGTAGCTTGCTGAGGCGTGACTTGTATTGAGTACGGATGCGAAGGGCAAAAGTGTGGAAAAAGGCGAGGTACCCATGACAAGCGTCAAAGCCTTACACTGTACGAGCTTTGACACTACCCTACATTAAATGGTGGTATTCAACCAGTGGTCAACGTGGGAGCTTCAGCGATGGAATTGAGTCCATCAACTTCAACAGCAAGTTGAATGGATTGGATTGATGTACGTGACTTCAATTTCCACAAAATGGAAGACGTTGCGTTGGAGGTTGAATTGATGGCCAGCCTGGCAACACTGGAAATGAGTCCTAAAGAGTGCCACTTCATATATACTTTGTGCAATGGTCCGACGTCGTAGTTTATCCTTTGGCCTGTTTCACCACGCTGGTATTAACAAGCCTTCTGACAGGAGTTTTGGAGGCTTCCGATGTCGACATAAATGTGACGGAGTTGTCGCAGTTAATAACGATCTGAAACAAGCTACCTGAATCATCTTCCCGTAAAGTATGCTCTTTGAACTCTACGGTACTACTTGATTCAAACAGAACGTCTGTCGTAACCCTCGCCAGGTCACTGAGAGTGAAGCTTTCGTCGGGGGCATCGAATTCTCTCTTGGTGGCGATTAGACCTGCCATTGTTGGTGCGAGGCCCTGAATGATGGCTGGACTGGGGCATTGCAGTTTGTAGATCGCCAAGTGAGAGTTGTTTGATTTCGAATACCAGAGAGTATCCAGTTCGCTGTTGTACCAGGAAATGAACCACCTGTCTTTAGCGACAGCAGCACAGTCGGGGTGGAAGTCAACTATCATGTTCGGCTCGGCGCGTTCACCTGCAGGGACTGTAACCCATTCTTGGCGATGTTTGCATGTATTGCCGTGCCTGTGTATAACTGAAACGGCGAAGAGCGGTGACGTCGTTTCGTTAACTACTGCCACGAAAGCTTTCCTCTTGGTTGCTTCCATGCCAAATCAATTCCAGCACGGTTCTATTATCATCCAAAAGAGGTGAGCCATATGCTTCAGCGATGTTGTCCTTTGTTTTTGCTGGTGGTGCTGGCTGCGAGATGGTGCGTCGAGGTTTGTATTGACAGTCTCTGGAGAAGGCAGGCAACTATTGTTGCGGTCGCAGAACGCAGGTCCACTACGAAGGCCTATAGGGGGCACTGTTGCAAAACTCCCCTGTCAACCCGGTTGCAGGGATGCGTGGTCACGAATAAAATTTCTTCCACTTTTGCAGCTGTTAGCAGCTGTTAGTGGCGGCTTTTTTACAGGCCCACTGGCCTGCGGTTTTGATGGCTATGCGCTAGCATGCCCTAGCAGCCACAAAAAGGAGAACTTTGGAGAGTTCATATTCCTCTTGAGCCGCTCGTCGCGACAAAAAGAAAGCCCTTAAGAGTCCTTGTATGAGGACCAAAAAGGCAACACACGCTTCCTGCGCACTACCTCTGGCTGTTGAGGGTTTTCCCGAGCTATACTATAGCATAGGTTTTCCC